ATTGCGAATCTATCTATTAACTGGTTGACGACTCGTGAATACATCCGTCTCACTCGCATAGAGAGACGAGAGTGAGAGGAAAAAATTCGCCTGCGGAGCTCCGTTAAAGAAACAGCGGGGACAATTGCATCGCTGTGCGCGCAGCTCTTTACGACTGGTGACAACACGCAGTCGTTGACTGGCATGCGTGAGCGCAAGCCGGTTCCTACGATAAACCGCTCGAGATGAATACGAATGCACGGCGGCAGTAACGGATAGCGCGCCGACTGCGACCCTTGGGTTCGTGGCAGAGGAGAGGATGAGGAGGGCGAGGCGGTGGTTGGCGTGACGGATGCGCGGGCATCGTGGCTGACGCGGCGGGAGGGGAGGAGGCGGCGGGCGCGGGGCGTCCGCGCGGCTGGAGGCCCTGGACGTGGGTTGGCGGGGCGGCGGAGTAGGGGCGGCGTGGGCGGAGCAGGGGCGGCGTGGGCGGAGAGAGGGAGCGGAGCGCCGAGGCGGTGTCGGATTACGGGAGGGAGCGGGACGCCGGCGGAGTTCCCGCGGCTTCGCCCTCGCGCCGACGCACGCGGCAAGAAGCCTCCCGAGCGGGGAACACGCACGGGAAGGCCTCCGCTATCGCGATTGTGATAAACCGAGCAAAAAATAAGGCCGGGCGATCGTGTCTCAGAGACAATTGAGGCGACGGAACGAGATGTGCTTGTTCTCTTGGGTGCATTGGGGGAGGGGTGCGAAACAATGTGTGTGTGGGTGTACTATTCATATCTTGGAATACACACAGCCAGAAAGCCAAAGAAAGGAAGCACACTATATATTTTCCCCTAAAAATTCACATTTAATTTGACGGAAAATAACTCTTTCAACTATCAAGATGCGAGTAGTGTAAATAAAGCGCGCGACAATAATGAGTTTTTCAGCACGGCTAAAAAACTTAAGAAGTTTTCAATTATTTTTTGTTTAAATTCTTAATGTTGTTTTGATTAGAAATATATTTCTGTGTACATGGAAAAAATACTAGTTTCCATTTGCACCCAATCAACATTATCGTAAGTCTGGCCACCGAACATTCATGAAATAAAACTTCCACTGCTCATTTAATACAAGTGTCATACAGGAAATTGCGAGGCAAAATAAGATGTACATTTTACACGCAACTATTCATAGCGCATAGCGACAACACTTGTCATCCACGCTGTGGGTTAAATACTGCTCCACGACTCCCAACACCGACGAGAAAAATATAATAATTTTAAAACCTGTTCCAGGTCTTTCGAGTTTCCGCGTACCATCGCGCTAGGTTAAGCATTTCAGAAGTCACGGACCGAGGTATAACGATCGTCACAACGCAGCGAGGGGCATGGCGTACACGCAGGCGGAATAATACACGCAGCGCGTCCCCTTCCCCGGGCTGCAGTCCATTGTGATTCGCAACTGCCGAGGAGCGCGGGTCGGCGGCGCGGCCCCCGTTCCATTATACAGGTTGGTACGGAATAAATGTTACAAACGTCTACGACTTGTAGGGAGGTCGACGGTCACGAATAAGAGATCAGAAATCTTCAATAACAAAGTTGGGCATGTGATGATTTTGAGACTGTGCCCATGATTTACTACAGGAATTTGTCGATTTGACGGCCGGGATGTTTCTTTCATACGTGCGTAATTGCAATACATGTTCAGCGTTCGCAGTTGAACAATAAAGACAAGAAGGCTCTATATTGCCATTGTCACTGGGCGGATCGTCCTTTGAATTCGCGTACCTGCCAAACACTAATGCACGGTGAGTTGCTTACCAATCAGACATGCCATGCCAACTTAGTTATAATCCGATTTAAGTATAGTGATAAACTCTCCCTGGAAGGAGAAGGGGCACAATGATGCAATCAGGAGCTTTGTGACAACTGAAATTTTCGGCATCGAGGTTCCCGATTAGGAGACCACGCCCCCTCCTCGCTTTTCTGCTCGCGACCTTAGGGACTCCTTGCATTTAAATCAGACAAAATGAGATTTCGCACATGCTCATAAGCAAGTGATAATCTTCTCCCCCCGCCCCCAAGACATTTGTAACATTTACTCTGAAACGCCCTGTATTTGTGGGGTGAGCGGCGCGGCGCAGCGCAGCGTGTTCCAAGACGACAAACTCAGCCGTCGGGAAAAGCGATTCATCAGGTTGAGAGCGCGCGCGCCGCCCTACCGAGCCCAGAGGAGCCCAGGCGAGCGAGCGCGCCCTAAGCCGCTTCCACCATTGAAATATGGAAGACAGTTATTGTGAGAGGCCCAGTTGTTGCTCTTCAGAACGAGCGCCGAGACGCACGAGTGTGGGCGCAATACACATGGCGGAAATTGTGCGTGTCTGTACTTTGTGTGTGTGTGTGTGTGTGTGTGTGTGTGTGTGTGTGTGTGTGTGTGTGTGTGCGCGCGCGCGCAAATAGAATGAGTGTGTACATGTGTACACGTGTGCGTGTTTGTACTTGTGTGTGTGGTGTGTGTGGTGTGCGCGCGCAAATAGAATGCGTGTGTACGTGTGTATACGTAAATGATGTATATTTGTATGTGTGCGTGTGCGTTGGTGTGCGCGAGCGAACTTCAACACGCTACCTGGAGTACCTAACCATGCGAGGAAATAAAGTTACGTGCTACGAAGCAAGTACAATCCCTAAAAGGAACGCGGAAAGTTAATAGCGGACAGAAAATATTTTTTTTTTTTAGAAAAGTGGTTTGTGTTGGGTGGAGGATCTGTTTATCTTACATTGCTTCGTTGTGTGTGTTGGCAGAGAGAGTTCTCGGGGAAGCAATTGTGTCGGCCGTGCGTGTTCCATAAGAATTTTTAGCTATAATATAGTGCAATACAAATGCTATTGATACTAAAATATCAAAATTGTAGAAGATCATGTGTATATGGAGATTTTCTTTACTTTCAACAGAAAAAAATATTTTACTGCATCATTTCCGTATCATTCGGGAAAACTATTCATGTTTTGAGAGCATGTTTCCTCCATATGTTTCCTCTCTAGCCGGAACCTCTATGACAGTATAAACAGATCATTTTACGTTCCGGGTTTTAGCAGGGCAGCAAAATTCTAAGCAGTCCGAAACTGGAACAACGAAATTACACGCTACTTGATGTAGTCGCATCTTAACGTGGCATCACCAACCATTCTTAGGGTTTCACGGCGCCACTTTACCCTATAACTACGACGAGTATGTATATTACGGGGGGAGGGGGAGGAGATTTGTTTATCCTTTCATATTGTATCAGTGGGAAGATGCGCCAAATAGGACACAAAGAATATATCAGAATAAGTTACGTTCTCATGCTGACCTCAGTTCATGGGGAAGCGTGCAGTTCACCACTGTCATGATAAGCGTTTCGAAGATCAAGACTGTATGCAGTTACATTTGCTGCGTATCGAGAGCGCTTCAAGACAATCCATCCAGCTCACAAAACACAACAAACATACTGCAAATTTCCGTTAGGCTAAGTTTTTTAAAAAGATTTTTATTTATTTCCGGATTCCCAGAAAAGGATTCCAGAGTTTATTTATTGCCAATACAAGTTTTCCCTCTGCTTGTTTCAATGAAAACACAAATATAAACACACGTTTGGGAGACTGTTTTCCAGGCAATATATTTTCGAAGAACCCGACCCCGTCTGTCAGCTAACGTACAGGCATTGTCCCACCCTCCTTCCGCCGGAGGCTGAAGTTCTAAGAACTCTGGGACCGGGAGGAATTTTAGATCTTGAGGGTAACGAAGGAAAACTTATGAAAAGGGTTTGGGACTTTTTTTACATAAGTCATTCATATTTCCGGTTTAGCATAGCGGTGCACAATGTTTCCTTTCTGCTCCAGATTTCACTGCAATTTATTTTAAATCAATTTGCTATCATTCGACTTCACAGAGGAAGCCACGCCTTTCAATTGTATACAGTAAGAATCGGGGAACTCCCTGGAGTTGCTCGTTTTTTAAATCCATAATTGCCCACTAACCGACACCGACAAGATTACGCACGAGCTGTGCTGCCAATGCCCATCAAAGATTAGGAGCAAATACATTTTATAAAAAATTTTTTAGAATTACAATAGAGTAAAAATTGTAGTTCTTTATCCTATGCAAATAAGTTTTCTTTTACTCGGGAGTGATTATCTCAAGTTCTCAAATGTTGCCAACTGTTCCCGTTGGTACTTTATTCATTATTCAACGATGTGTAGTAAAAGAGTAGGATAGAGACTCACGAAACAGTCACATACACTTTTTACCGCTAATTGAGAATGTAGTTATTTATGCACCAAGGGCGTTATAAG